AGAACCTGGAAAGGTGAAGAGCCTCATAGCGAAGGTCTTGAGAGCAACATATCATTGATTACACCACTATTCCATTTGAGTGAGCGTCTGGATGATTTCTGCCATCACATCCGGGATAATGAGTCTACGATGCGCATCTAGTCGGACGACAAAGTCACCCCAGTTTCTGATGACCTTATCATCGTTTTTACCACCGGGCTCCTGCACAGCGATCACAGAGATACGTCTGCTAAGAGATTGTAAATAATTTCTACTTGCGTTTAGTTGATGTGGATGTTAAATATGCTTTCTTGGTAACTGTTATTGAAAGCTTTGGAAATTTCTCCAGACGGTGTCGATAGCAAGTGATAATCAAGAAGGAACATAAGACAACAGACGGCCATCATCTCAGCCCACAACCAATTGGCTACGGCATTAGGTTGCGGTGCTATAACGATGTCTTCTCGCACGCTCCATGAGGCCTTTCCGGTCCTGGGTAGTGCCTATTTATGTTCCCTAAGCTGCCAGAAGAGCTTGTAATGATGGCAGATGGACAATTCCTCCCAGAGAGTATGTCCAAGGCTCTCGCAAGTGGCGTATATCGCCAAACTAAATCAGTTCCTCTCCATCTACTACACTGGAACCCACACCAGGGAAGTTCCGATACAAACGTTTGAGTGAGCGGATGACGGTTCCAAACCTACCCTCTTGAAGGTGTGACAAACCATTGTCATACCAACAGGTCCCAGTGCGATCCGATACGTATAGGCATCGATTTGATTGCAAAGAAGTGGCTAAAATAGGTAAGAAGATAGGTCCCGGAACGTTTTAAAGACAAGGCGGCTGCGCTAGAGGCGCCATATAACGAAGGCCCTAGTAATATATGGAATTGGAGGCTATGCATAAGCGATTCGTCAAGGAAATCAATGCATAATATCTTTTCGAACGGAATAAGACGACAGAGATATCCCAACCCTGTCCGGCGGCGTCGTGCCCGAGTCGTAGCAGGGAAACGTCCAGCTAAAGGTCGCTGCCTCGGTCCTACGCCTGTTGTGCCTTTTCCTGCCGCTACTGCTGCTGGTCTGTCTGCAGATCTTGTTTCAATCCTCGAGCGATCTGAAGCCGCCCAGCAGGGAACAATGAGAAATACACTGTCTACACAACAATGGTAATGCTTTTTAATAACACTAGATACTGATATGAGAGTAGAGACTATTTATGAGATCTGTTACTATCAGAAATCCAGGAATCTCATTTTCTTCAAGATCATATTTATGCATCTTATTCAGAAGATTGATGAGAGAAAGCATCACTTCCAGCATTCTGTTCTTGATGCTCTCCAAGTCACAGTGAAAACAACTTTGCTAAACCCAGTCGTGATAATTAGACAGCCGTATATTACAAACATCGGCGTGCCAGTGAACCGGTGCCATTCGACGCAGCAAGTCGAGGTGGTTTCCAAGTTCACTCCGACTTTTACCTCACAGGAATTTTTATGGATGTTAGTTTTCTGCGACGATGTCAGCTCAGGTTGTGTTCTCCGGAATTCAGGGATATGCTCTAGTTGGTCGACCTCTTTACTTAAAATATACAAATTTAAGATACTCAACAGAGGGGATCTACTTTTGATAGAGAGAGTTGCAGAGACAATGATCGGTCCCCTTTTGTTGAATGCATAAACAAATTACACGACGGGGCCAACTTATGGGCTGGAGGTCGATGGTCGTACACAGCAAACATGGCTACTCACCATCCACAAAGTCAGGGTGGTTTCAAGGTTGCCACGGCGCGATGTGCCACCGTAGCTCGGTGCGGTGCGCGACGTTGTATGCGCCGCAAAAGTGACCACAATTAGCGCTGTCATCACTTTTTGGCCAAGTCGAATGAAGAGTCGGGGCAAGATCGATATCACCATGGCCTGGAGCCTAGTTTTGCGGTATTCAAGGCCCAATCATCCATGGGAACACGAGTTATATATTTAAACCACACTTTTCCAGCCCTAGATCGATGCAACATTTATCTCATCTTTCACAGGGCGTCTTTTGGCTCTTGGTATCCAGTTGCATCCTCTGCAGGTGGGGCATTAAGCCTCTTGATAACCGAAGATGGAGAAGCTTTACTGGCGGCTTCGTCCTGGCTTAGTTAGTCGATATTAATTTGTCCGTGGCCAGTAGTATATTGAGGGCGACCTCCACATACAATCATTACTTGGCGTTGTGGACTTGCAAGAAGCTACAAATGATTTTTAATAACATTGGTTTCTACCAGCTGGTTGCAGATCTACACGGGAGGCATAATTTACTCGGCGCTATTTTCAGCCCTTTATTTACAAGTATTAGATGTCAAACATCTACAACCATGTGGCTGGACCAGAGGCTGTCAGACATAGCCATATCCGTGGAGGCTCCAGGGATATATTCCACAGCTATTGTCAACACATCGATTTGGATATATTAGTACGGCCTCTTTTCCAGAAAGCCTAAAACAGTGACGCTGGGCCTTCCTGACGACAGTTCCAGGATATTTTGATTACTGATGATATTGTTTTAAACACAATGACGATTAACAGCCCGCAGAGTCCTTGCCTCTCTGTGACACATTTTTGGATATCAGGGACCTAAATAAATATTCGTCTGAGAATCTTGTGCCTTGCAAAGCGCAAATATCTGTGGCTGAAAAGCACCAACGCTGCACGCACATACATACATTCCTGGTCTAAGTTTTTCTTCAAATCAGTTCTTAAAGTGATATACATGCTCTCTTGGGATGAGATGACAACAAAGTACAGCCAATGAATGCCCTTCAAAGCATCTCACCAATCCTATGTCGAGATTTTCTTTTGCAACTTTTATTCTACTTTTGCGAGGATTATTTTTTTCTTTTTCTGCCCTGCCTGCCACTGTCGAAGAGAACTTTGACAAATCCATCAATATCAGTATATTTTCAAATATTACTATCGTCTGCTATTGCTCCTGGAAACTGAGTGAGTACCGACGAGCCTTTTTGCCGCAAGATAAAACCATGGCATATCACCGCACACTTATTTGGAATGCGAAGGACGGTATACATTAAGTTCGGAAAGATTATCATGTTGTGGGGGACGTTCCGCTGCCAGCGCTTTCAGTTTACGAAAGGACTCTCTAAAACCAGGTGAGAGGGCCCCGAGACAAAGACCAAGGAAAATTAGGAAAAATACGAATGGACAAACACATTGAATATATATACACTAAACCTATTTATTAGAAAAATAGCAAGTATAGCGGAAGACCGGCAGACAAGAGTTGGGATCGAAGTGGAATCATATGGCGGAAAGCCTTTGACCACGCTCATGCCGAGTCGTTAACCTCGATCATAAGGGAGAGAAGGGTTTCATCATCAATGGAGCGTCAAAGCTATTGCTGCTTCGCATTGAACCATTTATTCCGCGTTGAAACGAGAGCTCAGTGGCCATCACCCAGCCCCCGCCCATTCTGCCAACTGGACGAGATCGAGTCTTGTACAGTACATTCCACCATACCTGTGTATTACGGAGAACCCCCATTTCTCTCCTCTGCTTCATTTTCGTCCTCTTGATAGATATTCAAGCAGAATTAATTACACTTCGAATGGCTCTGTGACACAGTCCCAAAGACATCTCATAAAAGGGAGCAGAGCTCCTAGGTCAAGCTCATGCTCGCTCTCACTAAGTATTCGAAGTAGCACAAGAAGACACCTGCATCCTCACCCAGACAACGAATGAGCCTCTGCTCTTCCACTGGCTAGAGTGCCGTTGCTACCAGTTACTCAATTTATAGTCGTTACGAGCCTGAGGGGGGTGGTTAAAAAGCCTGGTTCAGAAGAACGATGTCGAGTTATTCTGATATCTTGCCATATGCTAGCCATACATTTGCGCATGAGAGAAGGCTGACACTCCCTGTAAGTTATATTGGGTCTATATTAAACTTCCTTTAGCATAACTACTACTAGCTATCTGCCTGATTTCAACTCACTTCGAGAGTGAACGAATGGGGCCATATCCTGCTTTATCTCAGGTGAGAATTCATTGTGCCATTCGAGCGCTCGTCCCTTCAAGCATAAGAGAAGAACATGCAGGATCACCCTTTCTCCCTTTCTTGGGTGGCTATAACTCGGGGCAACTTGTGGATGCCACGACATCTACTTCTTCACGTCCACTGGTCGAAGGCCGCAAGGTTCTAGTCCTGGGATGACGGCGTTGCAATTTTGCAGCCTTGGGAAGTTGGGGTTGATCGCCCGCAGCGCGATCACCCACAACCATTTATCTATCCTCCAGCAAAACAAGCGTAGATGAGCAAAGACGCCCCAGCACTCCAACGGCACGCTGGCTGGATAGAACAAAATGCTATTACTGAATATTTCAAGGATGTCAACTGTCTTAATACAGTCATATCCAAATATCTCAACAATATTGGAATTTATTGTCGGCAACAACACCGTAACAGAGGTGAACGTTTACTACCTATTTGAACGAAAGACGGCAGACGGGGACCTCTCCAACGATGTTCGGTGACCTATGTTCTGTTTGTTAAAGACTCATGTATCTCATTTCAGTATCATAGAATAATGGAAAATACACCCTGCTTCTTCTTTTGTGAACGCTCCCTTCTCTTGTCTCTGTCTTTAAAGCAGCTCCCATCCACATTTCTGTTTCTGAGAACTGGTGACCAATAATGGCATGATTAGCCAGCTCCGCGTTGAATAGCCATCTTCAGCACCACCTCAGTGAATTTCACCTCCTCTAGAGTGTAATGGTGGCAGGGATAAAAACCATATTTTCGCTGGCTCTTCACTACAAACTAGTTCCAGTTGCCTGGATCCCATATTACTAGCTTGCACTTACAGTGGGTGATTTCGATATGGAAATGAGAAATTTTGGAAGAGAAACTATCAGACTCATGAGGGTATCTTAAAGAAGTTTAAGTGTTCGATTTGCTGCATAAGGTTCTGATTTTTTTTTTTTTTGGTTTCTGGATGTGGATTAATTAGTAAAATAGCAGTGTGAGTCAATAAACTTGTGATTGGGGATCCCACCAGCTATGGTTGTGGGCGATTTTCTCGTGGACGAGAATACCATATGTAAAAGCTCTTCGAGGCCTTCGAAGGACATTATAAAACGCCCCGATAACACGCCTATGCACAGCGCTTACATCGCTAACGTCGCTCAAGTCGTTGATAGAGAGTCCTAAGTTTGATAGTAAGCAACTTGAGAGAATCGAGCTGCTCAGTAAATGGTGCTTGAGCCATCCATCTCCTGGTAGGCAGATTGGAAACAAGCATTGTTTAATCATAACGAGCGTAGTTTTTGAAAGCATATAGTGGAAAATTGTAAAATCTCCAGAGCTCCTTGACGGAGATTTTGAAGTCGCGTATAAAAAAAGAGGTCAGAGAGTCTGTGCAGTGGTTTTGTTATCTGCAAAAGTTGAATCAGAATCCACTCTTCCTTGCCTAGTATAATGTACGAACCTCGCTGATGGCCTGATTAAAATCCTTAGCGGCAGCTGATACACGGTCACCGGTTAGCCATGAGGGACTGATCTGGGTGGGGAGGCAGGTTGGAATTTGTGGGTATAAGGCCCTTTTAACTGTTTAACACCTTGGAGATCGTACAAGGTCTGAACAGAAGAGGGGGAACCCGTTCATCCGATTGCCAGGTGATGTACAACACCCTCTGTATGTACGTGCTCTCTCTTGGATATTTTCGGAACCTCCTTTGTTTTCAGTTAAGAACCGCGAGAGGGTGAAAAGCCTCATTGATATTTTTAAAATATTGGAACCATGGCGGCGGAGTAATTAACATCGAATTCCAATTGTACAGCATGCGCTAACTAACCCAGAACCATGGCATTAGGAAAGTAGAAGAGAAGGCAGTCACAAGAAAGAAGATATGGCAATACGCTCCTAACAACGCCCGGCATCAAAACGGTTATAGCAAAAATAACGGTCAGGGAGCACTTTGAACACCTGAAACAGAGCACAAATGATTTCAAAAAGTATATATATATATATATACATATATGGTATGCGTATGGTTGTATGCGCAATGCGGAATGCAATATATGGAGGGAGGAGTACGAACATATCCAACATCAGTTGTAGACTGAAACAGGTAGAAGACTCATATTAAAATCTGCATATTTGGACAAAGTCACACGCGTTAGCCATTCAATACCACACAGCAAAAGGCCAACAGGTAAGACCTCTTCGACATCAAAGGCCCATCATCTGGGAAATAGGACTTGATTAAAACCATATGAACCATATGTGGGGGCTTTGAATCAACTTACCTGATCTCATAACTCCCTGCCCTGGTCATGTACCTAACCCATTTAACACTACTATAATTATTTTTTTCGAAAACTTTAAGGTACCTCACCAGCAGCCCGCTGCTCGTGAACATAAGCAGACTAAACTCAAGACTGAGCGGCGGCCGACTCCACGCCTTCTGCTGCGTCATGCTTGTCAGCATCGCTTCCGCTGTGAGCACGTACTCGCTCTGGCCTGAAAATCGCGCGATCTTCCAGACGATATTGTTTTGCTCCGGCTCATACTTCGCGCGTCCCTGACTGGTCCGTTCCGTGATCTTGGGCCGTGTTCAGAGGAGTGGGAATGCGAACGATGACGTTAGTCGCGAATAGCTTCGAGCCATAGTTGGCCTTTATGGCAATGCTGTATTCGACCTTTGTAGTGCCAATCTCACGCACGATCGGATGGATCTTGAATGGCAGATTGACGTTTTCAGTTGCCCGGTAGTGCATAAGTTCAAATTCTCCGTCAGGGGGAACGAAGGAAATAATGCGATCAGCGTCGAAACGCCCAAGCTTCACGCACTGGTGGAACTGACAGTCCTCCAGAGTAACACTGCCTGCTGCTGCCCGTGTGGCTCTCGTTCTTCCATCCGATCGTCCGGCGGCGTCATTGTTATCCAAGAGCAGCCTGTCATTCAAGCCAAATTTACACTCAGGCATACCCGAGAGATACGCTCGCATAACTATCTGGCCATTCACGTCGGCACGTAGGACTGTTCCGGTAGCCGACATGAGCAAGTTGACATCCTCAATAACATCGACAAATGCCTCGTTCTTCCTGTATTTGATGTCTGATCGCCGCCACGAGAGGGCACCCGTAGCTTGCATTGTAATTTTACTAGAATCTGAGGGCGAGTTTGCAATGGATGATTTGACGCCTTCCGTCGTGATGTACATTTTAAGAGTATCCGTTTCGGTGTTCTGAGGGTATCCAAAGTCAAGTATTTCTGTCGGTTGTTAATATCAAAATAGAAACAAATCAGCGAAGGCTCCGGCAAAAGTAATTGAGCAACAAAGGACCCTATACATATATTACTGACTCACCGTCTAACAGCTCATAAACAAGCACAAAATTATTCTTCACGGCCTCCTCATCGAACTTCCCAAAATATCCCCTGCCCAACAACACTAACCGATACAGAAACTCAAACACCAGCGCCGCATTCGCATTGCTCCTCGTCACCGCAACCAGGTATATATTCTCATGCTTAACATGGCTAAATGTCGTCGATCCCAGTGTTAGAATGGGTGAGCGAACCTGCGCGTTGGAAATGACCTGGATGCGGAATACGTCTGCCAGACGGGGCCGGCAGTCATTGCGAAAGGCGCGATAAATGAGGTTTTCGCCCTTCTGGTTGAAGATGAGCACGCCGGACAGCATGTTCGTAGATATGGAGGCGCCTGCGGACTTCTCACGAAAGGGGCATTGTTCGGTGGACGATTGATTGGCGAGTTTGCGGGTTGATGGTGGTTCATGGTCGACTGCTTGATGCGAAGGCAATGTTACGATATCGTAAAGTTTCGGTAACTAACGGCTGACGTCTGTATCTACGCTGTATGAAATTGAAAGGCTTGCAGAACCAAATATTACACTCATCGATGTATTTTCATTCAGTCAATATGAATTGAATAGATAAAACTCCGCCTTAGTAAATGATGAAAAGAATTGGCTGTTTGCCACTTAAAGCCGTGCGACCAACGTAGGCATCACTCAAATCCACTTCTATCCCTGATACAATAACCAACTGTATTACATTTCTTAAAAATCTACCCTGCTATCGTATTACGCTTCATGAACGCCTGTCATTTGGATGAGAGCGGCTATGCATTGTGAATATCATCAATAGCAAGAGCAAATCAGACTCAAAATGAGGTCTCGTATTGGGCCATTGCGGCCACTGTATAAAATGTGTTTGCCGGTATCCGAACAAAATTAAAAATAAAAATCATATCTACCAATGAAGAAGGAAAGAAAGGAGGGTAATAAAAAGGGAACTAGACACCCAATATGAAGAAATCGTGAAAGGACTCGCAGATAGAAAGTCAATGAGTAATACTAACATACCAAAACGAAGCCTAATCAACAATGGAAGGAAAGAAATCAGATCCCCAGATGAATATAGGTAGTTATCGTAATGCTCTAACGCCAGAAAAACAAATAAAAAATAAAAGACAGGGGGAGGTAGAGGTCAAGAATTAACGATATGGATATCATAAAAGTAGATCAAGTGTAAGAATAAAAAAGATGGAATGAGGGAGGGATAATAATGCCATTCCCATCAGCCTTCCGATGGTGGGAGGAAGTGGTTTTCGGCATTACGCCCTGCAGTGTTTGGTCTCATGTCAGTAGCAGATGCTGCATCGGTCTCGACAATGCCAACTTTTGGATCTGGAATCTGGATGTCGACAGACATATAACCCGTGCTCCGTAGACTCCAGATCTTCACGCCTTCTGTACTGCCGACAGTCTCATTCCAGTGCTCAAGCCACTGCTCGATGGACTTCAGATGGCTCTTGATGCCGGTCACACCGAGGTCATCCCAGACCCAGCCCGTTACTAGCCCAATAGCACCATCAAGCCAGTTGCGTACACTATAAGGGTCAAACGCAGATATAAGTTCCTTGTTTATCTTTGCGATAACCGTTCGGAACTCAAGCTCAGGAAGAATGGGGTCAAGAATTTCAGGATACAAATTCGAAAAAGTAGGCGCTAGATCACCCTTGACCATCCAATCACGTCGTATGCGGATGATACGGGTGTTCTGATATTCGTCGGATGTGACAGGGACATGTGGATTCATATGTGGGAAACAAGGATGCGAGGGACCCCACGCTAGCTCCTCCGCGACATCACCATCCGCACCACCACCACCGCCTGAAGAGTGGTTTCCGTTGGTAGAGGGAATGGAAGCAAATGCCTGAGACCGTAAGGAATGCTGTGACGGTACTTCTCGAGGGCGATCCGGATAGGCACCAGCAACATGGTTGGGATTTAACCCATTGGTCCGCAATAGAGCAGGATCTGGTCTGTGAATATTGTCTGCATCTCCTCGTATCGCTCCTGGACTTTGCCCGGGATCGTTGCCCATGTTATTTTTGTCCCACACACCGCTTCGTCGTTGACCTGGAGGAAGCCCGACACTTGCGCGTCCACTCTCTGTATCCGCGGCACTGCGCTCAACCAGCAAGCTCGTTGGACTGGGTTGCTGGCGACTGCGACGCTGTTCCGGGATGGTCAGCAGGGGATAAGCGTCCCGTTGCGATTCGATATAAGGAGAAGTGTCGGAGATTGGAGAAGGTCGTGGAGCGGTGACGACAGTTGTACGAGGAACGTAGTTGATGGGATTCCAGAGCCTAGACGATGGGGGTTTGCGAATGCTAGTACGGATAGATGAGAAAAGAGAACGTCCTTGGGAGTTGCGGCGTTGGTGGGGGGTATTTGCTGTTCGTTGGAGGGGGGGTTGGTAAGTGGGTGCTGGGGGTTGAAGTGAGGATGCGGCAGAGGAATTATTTGTGAAGATCGGAACCAGCGGGATATCCGTGTACGGCCCTTCTTCAATCGGCCGCGATGATAGATTGGCTGGGCGTTGTATGGCGTAGGACGCCGTGGTTGTTGCGGACAAGAGGAGAGAATGGCCCAAGGGGTTTGTGATGCAAGGAGAGGTTGATGTTGTCGGGGGAAAAACTGGAGGAGGCCGCGGGCGGTGATTGGCGAGAACAGGAGCCGAGGAAAGGGCTTAGGGGCAGGCTTAGTGACAAGCAGCAGCATGCCTGCACAACGAAAAGAAGAGGAGGAAAAAAAAACAAGAACAAGAACCGCTGATGGAACAATGAGGGGAAATAATATCAATCGACAGTAAATCGATTGAGTGTAGGGCAGGAGGCAGAATAAAAAGTAACGGTACATCC